TTTGGACATAGTAAAGGGCCGTGGCACCTGCTAGACAAAATGAATTTTTCATAGCGGATATCTCTGGAAGTATTTGTGGTTGAGTACTGGAGTTATATGAAATCATAGAGAAAGTCGAATGAAGATATATGAAATCATAGAGAAAGTCGAAATTATTGGAAAACGGGATCGGAAAAATACAAAATATTATTTCTGATCACTACATTAGTAAATATCTATATTCCAACACCCCAACATCATTCGCGTTCAACGCCCCAAACTAATCTTTCTTGTTTCAAAAAACTTTCGAAATCTTATTCTATCCACTTTTATTACGCTCTCACCATACTGTGCACATGCGCTGTGCAACAGATCGGTGATAAATTGAAATGATAAATGAGCAGAAATCATGAATAAATTAAATCCATTAGCACTTACAGAGGATCGAAGCAATAAAACATACAATTTTAACAAAAAATTAATTTAGAAATGTGAGGCCAATTCGGGCTTTACTTAATAAACTAGCAGCAAAAACGACAAAATAAAAAGTACAAAATTACCTCAACCACCTTGAAAGTCAACGTTTATGCGGACAGTTATGTTTACACTTATGAGCAATGATATCAACATTGATACCTGCGGCTTGAAACTAGGTACATATCCGCAAGCATAAAATCCGCTCACGCTTTTTGGAATTGAAATGGAATAGCTACGAATCACTCAATTATAAATTGAATAAATAAATTTGAAATGTCGTATTTGTAATGTGTATGAAAATAATAGTGTAACGTAATAATAAAAACATTTATAACCATAAATACGAGTATGCTATGTGAAATCACTGCGCATGCGCGCCGCCACATTAATGCTTTCAACGTACTGTATAGCGGCGTCGACTTGGTCCATTAAAACGTACCAAAAACCAAACCGGTTGGCTTACTTTTTCGCATCGCTGAATCACAAAGCAATCCGGAGCACATTACTGCAGGCTGTATTGGCAGCCGAAGTGGCCGGCCGCGCGCGCTGTTGGATATCGAGCCATGGGGTAGCACGTGGTTTTTATAGTTAACTTTATAAGCTTTTATAGCATTTCGCTGGCTTAAAATAAAGCAGCTATTGCCATCGATGACGTAGTCCTAAGCATAGCTGCTGAACTACATACTTTGCTTTTTTTGCCTTTTGTGCTCGACTTTTGCACAGCCACCCAATAAAATGAAACAATTAAAAAGTTTGCGCCTCATTTCTGGTTAACTGTGGCGCATTAGTCGCGAAGAAGCATGGCTGGCTGTCAGTGGTGGCCAAGTAGGGCAGGGCGTTTGCTCAGCGCTGACGAAGAAGTTCAATGCTACCAAATGGTTATAGAAATTTGCGGAAAACACTAAACACCTCAAATGTTTTGACAATGTGAAAATAAAAGCAATAACAGAAAATGTTGATAAACAGCAACAAACAGCAAAAACGGCTAAACGCTTTAAACAAGATAAATGGTGTTCAAGTCGGTGTTGCGTTGATTCAAAAAAGTAGTAGTCATATCCAAACGCGTCTGTCGCCTCGAAAGTTTCGCGGATTCCTAATTATTATTTCTGCCATGTATTTGAGTTTATTTGCAGGTACAAACATAAATAGTATATACGTACATATAAGCTGTGTTCGGTATACCATCTCCATAGATTAGGTCTCATCGCATACTTTACGCACAGCAGTCGCCACTGCTTTTTATATTTTCTTTCGTTTTTTTTCTTACCAAAACAGAAATAAAAATCAATTAACCAAAAAGTTGCTTGCTTATTTCTTTTGACGGCAAATGTTTTAAAATTTCTTGGATAGTAGAATTTTTGAAAAGAAAGTTCGCTAATTGAATTTGCTGGTTTTGACGCAGTTGTGTTTTTTCTTCTTTGCATCTTTTTTACAAATGAATATTAATAATTATTCATTAAATGTTTGACACAACTCATTAAGGTTGGCACCTTCAGAGAAAAAGATATACAATTTTAAGAGTTAAGTCTTACTTGCATGACGCTTTATTGTTACATACAGAGATATAATGGTAAAATTTCATGCTAACCAAAAAGTACTCAGTTATATAGGCATCTCTCGAAAAAAAGTATTGCTTTTAAAGCTCAAGAGTTAGTTTTCAAAAATTGTATGCATTTTCGAATGAACTTCCGTTATCACTTCGATGTTCCGGTCTGATTCGTCTCAGCCGTCAAAATAGCCTCTCTTGAACGCCGTCTTAACTCTATAAACGACCCCAACTTTCTACTAACTCAGCACTGTCAGACAAACTATCCTAACTCAGCTTTGTCTGATAAACTATCCTAACTCAGACGCGCCTATTTTTAATGTCGTTAAGCTGTTCAGCAATGGAGTTAAGACAGAAATTATAGGGGCGCCTGAGTTAGGATAGTTTGCCTTACAAAGCTGAGTTAGGATAGTTTATCGAGTTAAAACAGTCTTCCGTAACGCGTTCAAGATAGGATAGATTGATGGCCACCGCCCAGCTGAACTGAAGTAGCCCGTGGCCATCGACTTATCAGTCTTAGTTTACAGACAAACCGGCTTCGGCGTTGTGTTATTTCAGTGTAATTTTTATACCTTTCATGAGCATGAAATGGTATTATATCTTTGGTCCGATGTATGTAAGTACCAGAACAAAAAGAGATAGACCCATGAAAATGTATACTTATATGATCAGAACGTCGAGCTGAGTTGATTTAGCCATGTCCGTCTGTCCGTCTGTCCGTCTGTTTGTATGCAATCTAGTCTCTCAGTTTTCGAGATATCCGGATCAAATTTGGTAGGTGGGTGTATTTTTATAATGTATTAATCATTTGTCGGAACCAGAAGAATCGGACCACTATAACATATAGCTCCCATACAACTGATTGTTCAGATATGAGATTTTTCGTTATAACTTCTCCATTTATGCAGCTACGAACATGAAATTTTGCAGCACTTGCACCCATTATCAACAGAATGCTTACAGTGAAAATTACAAAGATCGGTTCACTATAACCTATAGCTCCCATACAACTGATTGTTCAGATATGAGATTTTTCGTTATAATTCATTCATTTATGCAGCTAGGACCATGAAATTTCACGCTGTTTTCACTCATTATCAGCAGAAGACTTACAGTGAAAATAACGAAGATCGGTTCACTATAACCTGCAGCCCCCATACAACTGATTGTTCAGATATGAGGTCTTTTATCATATCTCCTCCATTTATGCAGCTAGGAACATGAAATTTCGCACCATTTTCACTCATTATTAACAGAATACTTACAGTGAAAATAACAAGGATCGGGTGACTACAACATATATCTTCCATACATCTGATTGTTCAGATATGGGATTTTACTGTAAAACTCCTTTATTTGAACAGCTAAAACCGATAAATTTCGTAAGATATTTTATAAATAATAATACAAAGTCTACTGAGAAAATCGTCAAAATCTATGCTGTGTAAGCTTTATCTCCTATAGCACTGATTGTTTAGATACCAGTTTTTGCGATATATCTCCTTTATGTAGGAAACTAAACCCAACAAATTGTGTTACCGGTTTACATACCAATCACATAGCAGTGAAAATCACTTAGATTGGTGCCATATAAAGTATATCTTCCATACCTCTGATTGTTTAGATGCGATTTTTTATATAAGTATGTAACTCCTCTATCGATGTATGCAGATGTATTCAAAAGCAGTAATCTGTCAAAGTAAAATTTGCAGATGTTCATGAAAGGTATGAAGCCTTCGGCATAGCCGAAGACAGCGCTGCTCTTACTTGTTTGTTCTGAGAACGTTCTGGTTTGTCTACGTTCACACGTACAATTTTAGAATTGGGATAATCAGTAGAGTTAAAAACCAACAAACTATGAAAACATACCAATAAATTGACGATGGGGAACCCGGCCTGCCAGTTCGACAATTTCGTGAAATGTTTGGCTAAGCCAAGGCTATGCACTACGGGCAAGAAAATATGTAAGTGGAGAGGAGAGTAGATTTTACGTGTCTGTAAGGGGAACCACTCTGCTCAAGATCTTGGCCAGCCCTTTAATTACTATCAGCCTAGTCTCAACAAAATCAGGTTGATAACAACGAATTTATCTTACTCTGAGCGACAGGTCACTCGGGAGGAACATGTTAGCAGTTTGTCTGAGCAATACTCTTTGTTTTTCGGCCTTAATGACAAATTGATACCTGGAGTCTTTTATATAGGAAAGTCCGTCGTTAGGCTTCCCACAAGCGAGAGATGGGGAGATCGAGCCACTCGCTTTCTTAGACCTCTTTGGCAAACTTTCTATACCAGCGGCTGTCAGACTAAAACTAAAACTGGAGTCAAGAAGGATAACTTTAGATACTCTTCGAAAATCTTTGTAATATTTAGTTCCATTTTCTCAAGATAAGTTTTAGATCCTACTTAAGAAAAGGAAAAGAGAAGTGGCGCTGCAGTGACAAATCCTCAAGCTGCGGGACACTGGGTCGTTTAAAGCAACTAACTAGATGTTGAATTAACGAACTGCGGTTCGCTGAATTATATCAGAGACCTCAAGAATAAAACTCATAAGAATCGTTGAGAGCCTAACGTAGGCTATACGACCCTGAGCCAGCCTATAATCCATTCAAGATATACACGGCAGAGCTTCTTAGAAGGTGAGAGGACTAACAGCAGCCCACTGGACAAGAGCAATCCAAGCGATTATAAGCTCTCCTCATGAAGTCTCTGAACGCGGGGGTTTCAAAACTATCATTGGATATTGGAAAAAATATTCCAAGCAAATACACCATCTTTAAAATATGGGACTTTCTGCGGGGACTGCTGCTCAGTTTATGGGCCAGGGAGGGAAACCCCAGAGCATATACTGTGAGATTGCACAGAAATAAGCAGAAGTATAAGTAAACTTTGGGGTTCAAATGAAAGCTATGTAGCCTAATAGGTCGCAGAGCTAGTATGCCTTAATAATAATTCGTAATATTTAAAAGCTTTTATGTATGTTTAACCATTAAATACTTACAAGTTTCCCTTAAAGTTGTATTTTTGTAGACTTTTGTAGACTATCTGAAAAGAAATAGGGTAAATACAAGATTAGTTCGTCAGCAGAATAAAGAAAATTAATTTACTATTTGATTTAGTTAATAACTCTTTCTGAAAAAATAAAATAAAACTTAAAGCCATTAGCTGAACTTCGTTATACACTTTTAGACCAAGAACATATGTATGTAAAGTAAAATACTTTTTTATCTAATTTATCTTTTTCCAGCTCTTACTTGCTCCATTTCATCATAACAAAAAGTCAATGAACAAGTATTAACCTTACTAATGTAAACTCTAACTATTTAAATACAGCACTTTCTTGTGCTTCTACTTGAACTTTGACTAAGTTATTAGCTTGACAATGTAATCGATACGCCTAAGCTGCGATTAGAAGAAAAAGAAAAGGAGAAAAACTGACACACACATGAACATTTCCTATGACAGATGTAAGAAAAAGTAATGTTAATGCAACCCTGCAAGAAAGTGGAGTGTGTTAGATGGGTCAGTACAACTTCAATTCAGTTCGTTATTAACTCCTTCAGTGCTATAGCCATATATTTAAGTAAAGAACATATGAATCTAACTTTAAATAATGCTCCATTAAGGTTTAAATTGGATAAATTAACCATTATCCGATGGCTATATGGACAGTCCACACCTTTTGGAATAACTTTCACCTGCAGTCACTACCGGCAGTACGGCTATGCTCTCTACGTTGGAGGAGGCTGGGAACAGACTATAGCTACGGTCATGTTACTGGCTGTGGACCTAGCTGATGCGAGCTGAACGGGAGAAAGAAATCTATCCAGGGCACAATACAGCTTTATCGGTATACCTGTGTAATAGTCTCAAAATTTGGTCTAAACCGCAACTTGGTTGGTTCACTGAGCTTGTTCTTGTTTCATTTAGAGTTACTGTGTCATCGGAATTGCTGCGGTTGACTTTCGCTCTTCCCGGCTTAGTCATGGGCACACAGTTAGTTATATTTCTTAAACAAAAAAAAACACCTTTTAATGGGCCTCACAATGCTCAGAAATCATTACTACCGGACCAAGCCCGTACCGCAGAGATCCATCCGGCAATTTCTGCGTCTGGCGGAGAAATTGAACATGCAAACGGAGATAAAGTTAGACAAAAGAAGCCATAGAATAGGAGTATCTTTATTCCATCTCTACAAGAAACTCAGACCCTGCCGGACCTTCAATAGGTGTATGGAATCCAGGGCTGGAGGCAAAATAGGCTTCAGCCTCTGAGTTGGATAGAAAGCCGATTCCTTACACCATGGACTTTTGCTCTGAAGCATTGGGGCTAACAAAAGTCGGCACACTGGTGCAAGGAATCAAATTGGATTACCATTCTGGTTTCGTGCATTTTAGGTGTCAGGAGAGGAGAAATTTCGAGCGGTACTAGGTTATGACAAGTCAAGTTGACGGCACAGTTGTAGGCGGAATAGTCTTCAACATCTGGGCCGGATAGCACGACACTTTAGCTCAAAGCAGAGGCAAATTTTCAAGCGTTCCCTAGACATTGGCAAGTCAAGTTTATTGCACGGTTCGAGGTGGAATATTTCTCAGTGTCGGATAGCATGGCCATCCTGGACACAGTTAAGGTTCGCCTGAGGCTTCAATGCTGCTGCAAAGAGTCAAATGACTGACTTCGTAGAGGAGAATTTTCGTGCGGTACTAGACAGTTACAAGTCAAGTCGTCGACCAGTAGGTGCAGAGTTGGCTTTTGTTGGTTTTCCGATGCAATGCTAAAATAAATCTATTTTGGCGAAAACCTCCAGATCAAATTGAATCCCCTGGATGGAAAACTGAACATGTGCGAGTGAAGTCTCGACCTGTAGATTGAATCTTAAAAATGGTTCTAAAGCTCGCCGAAAAATGTTGAGAAGCTTTTAACTCTCGGTAGCAGGAAATACGGCACTTTGTACTGCATCCAGATCACGTTGGAATCGAAGGAAACGAGGGCGCCTACAACGTGCCTGTGGGTGAACATAGAAAGCATTAAGTACAGGGATGCAGTACGGGACCGCAGACAGGCCATATTCCTTGGATTTCACATACATCTTTTGTTATCGGCGTCCACGCTTTGAATTGGGCTAAGGCCGTAGACGATTCCGGGCAGTCGGGTATACCTTTACGAGGATTACAGATTACTTTCTAGCCAAGGACTGTTACTGCAGTAGCTTTCCTGGCTGAGAGTACCTGAGTTCTATCTTCGGGCAACTTGCTTTCCACTTTAATAATTTTTTGGTTCCAAAGCCCCATTGGTGCTAGGCTTTATTTCCATCTAAGCCTATTTCCAAACTTTTTCGCTTTTTTTTTAGAGTTTACTGCTGTCATTTCTTGAACAGTTGAGACAGAGAACACACGTCCCTTTGACAGCTTCACTTCATTTGAATATTAGAAATTTGTATAACAGCGTTTGCTTAGAAAAAGTCTCTGCGGCATGATAGGTTATCGTTTACCGCTATGAGGCTTTCGCTTGCAGTACGTGCGGTTACTTGAAAACTCTGTTAATGCCTGCTATTTGCGGTTTTGCTACTTCATCTGCAAATTATGCGCCAGCTGGACTTTGAACTGTACTGTCGGCAAAAAGGCAAGAAGAACAATCTCGTTTTTTTTTTTGCTTGATTTATTTATGACTTGTGGTCTGCCTGTGCTAAGAGCTATAAACACCTATGCGCATACATATTTCGTTGTTTATTTACCGCCTTTCCGGCACGCTGCTGTTGTGCTAAGTTACGAGTATTTATCGTAGTTATTTTATGCCAACTTTCTTCGACTGTACCTAAGCCATTCTTGGTGCAGCATTCGATTGCGGCAACAGCCCTGTTGTTTCTCTGACTTTCAAGTTGCATTGAAGATTTGGTTTCGATGATTTTTTTCCTTTTTAATGGCCTATTTAGCTATGATTACATGTTGGTAATATTAGGTACTGATTGGCTATTTTCGAGGAAACGCTGCCGTACTGCCATTGACGTTTCACGGCACCACTGTGGTGTTTTTCGTATTATCAAATATTATCAAAAATACACTTTTTGCCCTTGGTATAAAGAAAACTTCAACCTAATTAACGGCCTCTGTAGTTTTTGTAAAAACGGAACAATAATGGTAGAAAAAGCCGTTTGCAATACGGTTGCTTTTAGCTTTTCAACCGACAGATTTGGAAATTCAGACCTTTCAGGTGTTCGATTGAAATTAATATGATTTCGCAATATTTTTCGAAAATAGCCACTGGGTAAATAGTTTTCATAACTAAGTGAATTTTTTTTTTCTTTAAAACAAATATTTAGCAAAAACCTGCATTCATACTTTTTCAACAAAACCACAAAATTAAAAAATTAGCCCTTGAAGGGTTAAGATTTTTTTGCAAATATAAAAAAAATTTTTTTTTTTGGTTTTCAGCCATCGAATTATAAACTATGATAATTTTTTATTTATTAGGTTTTAGGCTCAGATGACCTCAGATTGTGGTCGAAATATGGATAAGAAATTAACAAAACTAAAATATGCAGTTTTATTTATTTGTTGGGCCTCGAACTTAATAAATAAATAAAAAATATCTTAGTTAAAACAAAAAAAAATAATAATTTAAAATTTTCGCTACAAAAAGGGGACAAATTACCCACAGTGCAAGCGCCGCGAGCACTTTAAATTTGTTTAGCTATTTTTTCTTTTTATTTCATTTATTTTATGCAAAATTTCGCAAAGCATTTCAGTTAACTAATCATCATTTTTTTAAACAACATTTTATTCCTTTTCTAACCGTTCTTTGTTTTTTTTGGCTACTCCTATGCTTAACCTACTCCCCAAGTTTGCAACTGCGCCTGCCTGCTTGTCGCCGGTTATTTAGTTCATTTTGTCCAGCCGTCGCCGTCGCCGTCGCCATTGCCATTACCGTTTGCCTGCTGCAATTTGGTTACTTGATACTTAAAAGGCCTTTTTCTTTCTCTTTTACGCTTACTTTATTACCTTTGTTAGTTGGACCGCATTTGCCTCGCATTTGTTTATTTGTACTCAGCGTATTTACTTGCAGCAATTACCTAATAATTTAGCACTTTTGCATTATTTTGCCCTTTACTGGTCGTCTTCAAAACTACCAAACACACACAGTCAGCCTTTTCTTTACCGTCAATGCCTCGCACAGCAAATTGGAGTGCGCCAACGTCTCAGACATACTTCTTCACACTTCCGCAGTTCTACCGCTGCTCGTAAGTGCGCTTTCCTTGGTGGCCGTATTATTTTTCATAAACCTTTTTACATTGTTTGGCTCTGTTTACTTAAGTTAATTAGCCTTTTATGTTATTTTTGTTTTTTTTTTTGTTTTTGAAGGGTTGCCTTCTTTTCTTGCAGCGATTTTTCTTTTGTTTTGTGGTGCGACGCATGACGTCATAATTAGCCAAGATATTTGTCGCTCAATCAGTACGCTTTGAACTTACGAAATACTAGTGGGCATGCAAATGCGTTGAAAGCCGGGCAACTTGGGAATATTTACTGTGCAGCATGGTTATCGAAAGAGGTAGTTTATAGAATCTAAAAATTAAGTCAGAGTCTTCGCTAGAAGCCACACAATACAATTTGACAGCTTTCTTGGACATATGAATATTGAAAGGGTTTTTAAGAATACCCGTCTTAAAGCGGTAGAACAGTCAGTCAGTAATCTAGGGTTTGTAGCCCTCGTTGTAAAGTGGACTTCAACCGTATATCGTAGAAGGAGTGGTCTACAACGAGGTAACTAGGCAGGGGACTCCGCAAGGCGATATACTGTCGCTTCTGTTGTAGCTTTGTCTATTAAGCAGCACTCTTTTAAAATTCCGTAGAGATGGGGTCAAACTTGTCGCGTACGCGAATAGTGCAGTGATTATGCAATCCGGGTTAAGAATAAATGCGATAGACGGAATGTCTCAGAGGGCCAAAAATAAGCTGAGTTCCTGCATCAGAAAGCTTCGGGCGCAATGTAATACCTCTATGACCGAACTTCTTTTATTCACTACAAAGATGGTTCCTCATTTTAAACCT